AAAATTAGGGTCTAGAGATTTCTGTAAACAACTGGTATCGAAGCTCAGGTAGATTTTGACCTACAAATTACGAGAATCAGTAAAAAAGAATTAGTCATAAAATTTTTACAGTTCTATATGCCATAACATTTAAAATCGTAACACTAGCATTGAAAACCAAATATTTAGACATCACTAAATAGAAAACTGCTTTATCAGGAGCTCTGCACTATATACGAAGTTTACTGTTGAATTGAATTGTTATATTATTGAATCACGATAATGATGAAGATGAAAGTCCAAATAACACACTAGAGAATTACACTACTAAATCAATACCAAATGTGACAGAAAATTTACCTGTTCAAAAACCTGATGATAATTATGAACCAAGATTGGAAAATTCAGATTTTTAGTCTAGCTGTAAATCAGCTGGAGCTAAAAATAAACCAAGATAGTTGCAATATTTTGTTCACAAATAGGGACGGGTGAATATAGTATAATTTAGTGTTCTAAATGTTGTGACAAGAACTTGTCAGTATTTAAATGATTTTTTTGGACGTCTAATGTCAAATTTAAGCCTGATAAGCAACAGACAGCCGTCAGACATTCTGAGTTCTTTGTAGTAGGGGAGAGTAGTACACATTGATACATAGTACACAATGAAATACTGTTATTAACCAAATCTAATTTGCCGCCACATTGCCACTAGCGCTTCAACGGATACTCCATAATGCATTGCGTCTGCCGACAGTAGTTCGCTTTGATATTCGGAGTAGTAAACATTATACGACGTGTTTTATTGTTTTGTATGCCTGAGATTTAAAAACTGAAGCGTTTATAAAAAGGTATGTTGCCTATAAATAAATATTTTTCATTTTTGTATATATGTCGTTACAATACTTGTGATGAATGCCTTTTAACCTATAAATATCGTTGCCAATAATTTCCGGGTTTTCTGTTTACATCCAACTGAAACTTTAAACCTGTGGTAGTACACATTGAAACATATAGTGGTGGTACACAATGACACATGTTTCATTATGTACCATACTGAATTATTCTATAACAAGGGCATTTTATTGCAGGTGTACCATAGTAAGGAGGAAGAAAGAAAGATCTAGAGCCAAATTTATAAGTGAACAAATGGCGGCAGCAGTCACAGAGGTTAAAAAAAATGGAACTGCACTTCGCGTTGCGGCAGATATGTTTGGCGTAAATTTTAGCACATTAAGGCGATACGTTCTAAAAGAAAAAAATGATCCAAATGCAAAAATGGAGCCAAATTATGCTGTTAGATTAGTATTTAACACAGAGCATGAGACGTCGATGTGTGATTATATTAAGAACTGTAGCAAAATGGCTTTTGGGTTGAATACTCTAAAAGTTAGAGAATTGGCGTATAACATGGCTGCTAAAAACAATATCACTATGCCAGACTCTTGAAAGGCCAACAAATGTGCAAGCAAAGATTGGTTAAGGGCATTTATAAAAAGAAATTCATCATTAAGCCTCAGAAAGCCAGAAGGATGTTCACTGTCAAGGCTTACTTCATTTACAAAACTCAATGTTGACCGGTTTTTCGTAAATTTGGAGCAAATATACGTAAAATATCCATCAATTGTTGAAGATATTCACATCTACAATTTAGACGAAACTGCTACTACGACTGTCCAACGACCACATAAAGTTGTGGCACAAAAAGGTGTTAAACAGCTGAACCAGTGCACAAGCGCCGAAAGAGGGTTACTCGCTACTACTTGTGCAATAATTCGAGCAAATGGAACATTTCTACCTCCGGTCATTGTTTTTCCTCGTAAGAAGTTTAATACGATTATGCTAAATGGTGCTCCACCAGGAACATTAGGACTAGCTAATCCAAGTGGATGGATGATCGCCGAACTATTCACACAAGTACTAGATCATTTTATTAATCATACTGGTGCTAGAAAAGAAAACCCGTGTTTATTAATATATGACAATCACGAATCCCATATGTCTCTGAAAATAGCAGAAAAAGCAAAAGCTAATGGCATAATAGTTTTAACCTTGCCCCCATATACAAGCAATAAGATACAGCCTTTGGACAAATCAGTTTATTTTTCCTTCAAAAACTATTACAATAGTGCGATTGATTCATGGCTTCTTAACCACCCCGGCGTTCCTATGGCACTGTACCAAATAGCAGAATGTGCTGGTATTGCCCACTCAAAATCAATGACACCTGAAAATATTATGAATGGCTTCAAATCTACAGGTATCTACCCTTTAAATAGACATATTTTTAGTGAAACTGATTTTCTATTATCGTCAGTTACTGACAAACCGATTAATGATTTTGAAAAGTATGACGGACAAAAAGCTATGGTTGTACTAAGAGATTCTACCAATCACGAAGAAAATGCATTTGTATCTTCATTTTCAGTTAATACAGCTTCTACTTCATCTAATACAACCCAAGAAACTGAACCGAACTCAACTCTTGAAATACCTTTGACATAAAAAAGATATTTTATTACCC